TACTGCCCCATAGCGACCTTATGCACAGCAGAACGAAACACTGCCCGATCCTGGGCCAACCTCACTACTGTTGCCACGCTTGAGTCCATCAATGCTGCCACTTGGCCAATCCATCTCATAGGGTCTTTATAAGTTGGAACCAATTGTGGCGCTGTGGGTTAATGTGCCAGACTGCAAAGCCGTCTGAACGGCAAGATTGGCAGTTCAAGCTCACCAGCTGCTCCTTGGAAGCCCTATCCAGGGTCGCTATGGGTCGGAACTGACTCGATGGCACTTAACAACAACAAAACAACATTAAATATAGTGCTTACAGACACAGTTCAAAGATGGTTTGATGATGAGTATGTTGTTGTTAAGTGTCATCGAGTCGATTCCAACCCATAGCGATCCTGTATGGGATTTCCAAGGAGCAGATGGTGAGCTTGAACCATCGACCTTGCAGTTCAAACAGCTTTGCAGTCTGATGCAGTAGTAGCCCACAGCGCCACACTGAGACCCTGATGAGCAGAGTTCCTGGAAAAGAAGCTTTGTAATACCACTCTGGGTTCTAGAGGTGAGCACAGGTATGTGAAAAATGGCAATCTTATTTATATTGTGAAAGTAATTTTGAAACAAATTTCATAAGGCAAATAGGTTCCTTCTTTCCTTCCCTTTCCTATTTTCTGAGCTTTGTTTTGGGGTAAATGCTGCTCTTTTGGTTGATTGTTCTGAAGATTACATTCCTCATGGATATTACTGTTCACTTTATAGGTCACTCTGCTGTTTGGCTGAAAGGTGATCCCCATGGGTGAGGTTAGATCCAGGTATGAAGGGCGTCTGAGCGCCACAGCCTCAGGAGTTGCACCAGACTCTGTCAGACCAGTAACTATGCTTAGTTTTTTTTTAAAAAATAATTTTGAATTTTGTTTTACATTTTTGTCCCTGTATTCCCTGGGGCTTGATTCATACTGGGAAAGATCATTTGTTGCATCTTTTAAGACCATAATTGCTACGCTGAGGGTTAATGAGCTGGACTGCAATATTGCTTTGAACTGCAAGGTCGGCGGTTCAGGTTCACCAGCCGCTCCTCAAAAAACCTACAGGGTTGCTATGGGTTGGAACTGACTCAAGAGCACTTAACAACAACAACAAAGGAAGATGCAGAACACAGTCTTTATGGATGTCACCTAGAGAACTACCTCTTTCAAAGGCTTGCAACAAAACAAACGCTGAAAGCTAATTTCACTTTTCATCTTTTTTTGGTAAAAGTGAAAACTCTATTTGAATTTATTCTTGTTAGAAAAAAAAAAAAACCAGGCATGAATGTAGGTCTTTGGTAAAAGTAGCATAAAGTAAACTGTCAAGAAGAGGTGGGTACCTCTCTAGCAACAACATAAAAGCCAAAGGCTGTCTCACAAGAGGTCTTGGGAGATCAAAGTGTGAATTCCTTTGTCTTTCTTCTGTGAGGGCTGTGACTTCACACACACTCTCCCAGATTAGTAAGCACCCAAGTAACTGTTCAAGAAACACCTAAGAATCAGGGAGTCTAAAATGGAGCCCAAACTGGGCTTTTTTATGCTTTACTGGTCACATAGGCATATTTCTACCAGGTAACCAGTCTCAACAGTAGAACTCTTGAGGGCCTCAACTAGAGCAGGTACAAACCATCAATCTCATGGTTGTCAATAAACAAAGCTGGCAAATGGTACAAACCACCCCTACAGTCTTCTGACCCACAGCTACAAAGCAACACTAATGGTCTATTTTATGCTTTGACCAAGGGTCAGCGTCATGTAAAACTTTGGTATAAGAGCTCAGAGTAACTCTACAATATAACATAAATGCCTGGAAAATACAATCATACCAAAAATTGATGCCAATGAGTCGATTCTGACTAACAGGGGCATTATAGGACAGAGTGGAAGGTTAGTAAAAAGAGGCAGCGCTGCAATGACATGGACTGACAACAGTGGCAGCAACAGGCTCAAATACAACTGTGAGGATGACGCAGGAGCGAGCAGTGTTTTCTTCTGTTGTACACAGGGTTGCTATGAGTTGAAACCAATTTGATGGCACTGTGGTGGTGTTGTAGGGTACGCATTGGACCCTAAGGTCAATTTGAACCACAAGGTGGCAGTATAAAACTCACCAGCTGCTCCCCCAGAAACCCTATACAGGGTCCTTATGAGTTAGAAGCAACTCAATGGCACTTTAATAACAATAAACAAAATAGGACAGAGAATTGCCCCATAGGGGTTTGAAGGCTGCAAATCAAAAGTATATTGTGGCCTCCCTTTTTCCGCCATCTTGGAGTCTAGGAAGCCTGCTGGGAACAGGACTTCAAAGCCAGCACTATGTCTGGAAGGCTATGGTCCAAAGCCATTTTTGCTGGCTATAAACGGGGTCTCCGGAACCAACGGGAGCATACAGCTCTTCTTAAAATTGAAGGTGTTTATGCTCGAGATGAAACCGAATTCTACTTAGGCAAGAGATGTGCTTATGTGTACAAAGCAAAGAACAATACAGTGACTCCTGGTGGCAAACCTAACAAAACCAGAGTAATCTGGGGAAAGGTAACTCGTGCCCATGGAAACAGTGGCATGGTTCAGGCTAAATTCTGAAGCAATCTTCCTGCTAAGGCCATTGGACACAGAATCCGTGTGATGCTGTATCCCTCAAGGATTTAAAACTTAACTGAAAAGTAAATGAATAAAACTGTGGATTTGTTTAAAAAAAAAGGTACATTGCAACATCTTTCTGCCTTGGAGCAGCTAGTGGGTTCCAACCACTAACCTTTCAGCTGGCATTCAAGCACTTAAACATTGTGCCACCAAGCTCCTCCGGAATACAGTGCAATTCCTATTTATCATTCATTAGCCTCTCAGCTAAAATTTCCCTGACTATCCTTCCTCCCTATGCTAGTTCTATACTTAGTATGTGTTTATTGTTGCATTTAACATTAAATGACACCATGTGTCTTTTCAAGGAGCCCTGCTAAGTGCTAATTTTAAGGTTGAAGGTTTGAACCCACCAACTTCCCAGAAATATATAGCAATCTGGGGGGGGGGGGGTAGCAGGGCTGTAGTATCTGCACTGGACTGTAAAGTTGGTATGAACTGCAAGATTGGTGATTCAAACTCACTAGCCGCTCCTCACTAACCCTATGTAGGGTCATCATGAGTTGGAACCAACTTGAGACCACTTAATACCACCAACTGCTTCCAAGCAGTTCCTATAAGGTTGCTGAGTCAGAATCACCTGGAAGGGCAGTAGCTTTGCATAAGGGGTTTTAATTCAAAGAGTTAACAAAGTCACCCTTAATCTTTCCTTTCACAACGTATGGACAAATCATCACCATAATTTGTTTCCCTCTAAATTTTTGCCTATCCGTTCACTTTTCTCCTTCTCCACTGCTAAGACTGAGTCACCACTATTAATTCTTGCCTAGATTTCCAGCCTCCTAACTAGTCGCCCACCTCTACAGTGTAACACCTTACCATGCAGCTACCAGAATATTCTATCACTTCACTTCAAAAAGCCTTAATTAACATAACCTAAAGGCCCTGCTGACATCCCAGTCTGTGTCTTCCACCACTCTTCTTCTGGCTCTTTATTCTCCTCTCCAACCATATAGTAGCAGCTCTCTATGGTTTTCACGGTCCCAGTGCTCACTCTTACACAAGGGTCTTTGCAAAGGCTATTCTGTCTTCCCATTTGTCAAAGTATTTAAAATTCATCAGTTCAGCTTGAAAAGTCTTCTCAAAGGCCAGGCCACACAGCCCCTATTTTCTGCTTTCAATGCACACAGTTTCAATGAATGAGCAGGTACTGATGTGGTATTGTAGGCTGGACTGCAAAGTCGGTTTGAACTGCAAGGTCAGTGGTTCAAGCTCACCAGCTGCTCCTCAGAAACCCTATACAGGGTCGTTATGGGTCAGAACTGACTCGATGGCACTTAACAACAATATTAAGAAGAGAAAGACAGAATGGGAGGAGAATCAAGAATGATGGTAGACCCATATCTGCTTTGATCACTGCTCTTCACCAGAACCTGAGAGCACAGTAGCTCTGTATGAGAAGCACTAGACTACAAAGAACAAGGTCGGCATATTGAGTTCTTGTGTCTCTTTAGGTGAAAGATGAGGTTCTTACTTCCACAAAGATTTACAGCCTCAGATACCTTTAATACAGGGTCACTATGACTCGGAACCGACTCCACAGCAGTAACAACATTCAACAGGTTCATAGTCCATCAACTGACACTCAACAGGTGCTCAAATGTGTAAAATGAACCTACCAACAAAAAATGTAGAGTCAAGATTGCTCTAGCTAATTTATAAAACTGGTGGTGGTGGTGTTGAGGGCTGTAGCGTAGGTTCCGACCCATAGCGATTCTGTTCAGGGTTTCTGAGGAGCAGCTGGCCAGTATGAACTGCCGACCCGACCCTGAAGTTCAAACCCTCCTTGGGGTCCAGTACATTATCCACATTCTGTTAAATTGTTTCTCTTTGATATACTCTCTAGGATCAGCAGGGCATCTCATTTATCACAGCATTTGTTTGGCAGGTGGTCATTTGGCTTCCAAAGGAGCTCTCCCACAAAGAAGAACATTAACCAAATATCTTAATCTCTGAAAAGCAATGAAGTCAGATACTGGTATCACTTCAAAGCTGGTTCAAGTGGAGGTGTGGATCAGGGGTTGGAGGCTGGCATCGGGCACTCTAGAGCAGGAATAATTGTTTTAAAAGAGAATCTTTAAAGGAAGAACGCTCAATGGGCCTTAAAATGAAGGGCATTTGAGAATATAAAAAAAGTCCCAGCTAGGAATCCATATACTTTAATAATCGTCTTAAATGTTTAGAAAAGGAAATCCAAATGCCCGGTTCCTATTAGCTCTCTAGAGGTGCTTCTTGAACCTGCCAAAGAACGAGTAAACACTACAGTAGAGGGACAACCCGCAGGTTGCAGCTGACCCTTGAAGCCCTAAGCTGGAGTCCCGGGACTCCCAGGGTCCGTGATACCTGGAACTCGAGGGTGCACTTCGTGCCCACTATGATGTCCTCGTAGAAGCACTGTTTGGCGTTGTCCGGCAGCTCGAAGGTGATCTCGGAAGCTCCGCCGGGCCCCGGCACCACCAGCAGCAACGCTAGCAGCCTGCAACCCCAACGGCCCGCGGCGGCCGCCCAGCACTGCGCGGACCCTGACCGCAGCATCTCGAGGCGGCGGCGGCAGCTGTCTGAACGAAGCTGCGGGGAGACGCGGGGTCAGGTAGACTCGGCAGTAACCGCGCGCGGCAGGCCTCAGTCCGGGCCTCGCCGTTAAAATGCACGGAAAAACCGGTAGAGTCTCTCCGAATGGCCAGGAGATGCGCGATGAGTAGCGACCCGCTGGGACTGGATGAGGGTCGTAGAGGAGCCACGGCCGAAGGCCGGGAGCGAATTAAGCTCGCCAAGATAAAACCGGCAGAAAACAAGCGTAAAAGGTCGGAGGTGGCCGGAAGAGGGAATGAGGCACCTGCTTTAGTGACCCGGAAGTGCTCTCCGTAGGTGGGGGGAGGGAGGCGTTGGAGTGAGTACGTGGAAGCCAGCGAGGCGCCGGCTCGCTCTGCGCTGCAGCCTGGGATGAGGCGGGGCCAGTGTCGTTAGCGTGGCTGGGCGTGCCGAGGCAGGCCTAGAAGGGGTGTGGCTTGCATTGCGTAGGCCGTGAGTACTGTATAGGAAAGACAGTGCTGTGAGAGCGGTTTAGGCTTTTGTCTCTATGAAACTACAGGAAAGCAGAGCTCATTTTACCCTAGGGGACTAATCAATGGTAGACACTTTGCAGTTTGCAGCGTTTTCTCATAACTCAAAATTTGGGAGAAGCAGTTTAGCAAGGAGTTTTAAGTCCTTTGCCACTTACTAGCAGCTGTGCTGTTTCCTGATTTTTTTTTGCCACAGTTTTTGCATTTGTAAAGTGAAAATAATAATAGTAGTATTTGCCACAGAAGATTATTATGAGATCCATATTTGAAAGAAGCACCTTAAAGAGTGGTTGCACTAGCTGAACACCGTATGCACTAGCTGAACTTTTGTTAAATAAAAATTAACATCTATGGGAACACCTCTATCACCAGGCTCTGTGCTAAGCACTTTACATGTATTACTCCATTGGATCTTCCAAACAACCCTATAAGGTAGTGTTGTTGTTGATGTTAAGTGTTTGTCTAGATGGGTCTGTCCCATAGTACTTTCATGACTACCACTCATCTGTCAGTGAGTTTGTTGCACTGTTGTTGTTATGTGCTGTGGAGTGAGTTCCGACTCATAGCGAACCTGCACAGAGTTTCCGAGGTTGTAAATCTTTGTTGTTGTTAGGTGACATTGAGTTGGCACCAACCCATAGTGGCCTTATGCACAGCAGAATGAAACACTGACAGATCCTGGACCAACCTCACTACTGTTGCCACGTTTGATCCATCCATGCGGCCACTTGGCCAATCCATCTCGTTGGGGGTCTTCCTCTTTTTCTCTGACCCGCCACCTTAACGAAGCATGATATCCTTGTTCAGCGACTGGTCCTTCCTAATAATATGTCCAAAGTATGAGAGACGAAGTTTGGACATCTTGGCCTTTAAGGAGCACTCTGGCTGCACTTCTTCCAAAACGAATCTCTTGGTTCTTTTGGCAGCCCATGGCACTTTCAATATTTTCCTCCAACACCATAACTCAAAGGCATTAATTATTCTACGGTCTTCTTTATTCACTGTCTAGCTTTCACATGCATATGAGGTTATTGAAAATACTATGGCTTGGGTCAGCTGCACCTTAGTCCTCAAGCTGACATCTTTGCTCTTCAACACTTTAAAAAGGTCTTGTGCAGCAGATTTGCTTAATGCAATACGTCGTTTGATCTCTTG